AGTGGCAAGAGAGCCATAGTTAATTGGCACTGTTTTTTCTTTCTAAGTGGTACATCAAATGATTGAGTTGTGTCATAATATTACAGAAAATGTTAAGGAAAAATAAGTTGATACTAAGGCCATTAACTGCCAAGATAGACATTTATTTGAGCTCATTATTTAATAATGATTTTTAAAACTTCTTGCTTTTTTGACAAAGGAACATGTTTTATGGAAAGCTTTATCTAGATATTGCAATTTTGACCATTAAAAATAAAATACAGATTCTTAAATTACTAAGAACTTGTACAAGAAGTTTCATACAGTACCTAAATTAATTAATTTTAATTTTTCCACCCAAAGTAACATTTTCTCATTACTCTCTTCACTCTGTGCCCACTCTCCTCTCTCTAAATAAGTTGGGTGTATTTCTAAAGAGGTACAGTAACTTACTTTGTAAACAATGATGCGTTACATTAATAATATTTAGATGAGAACCCATTTACCACAAATTTAGACTCTCAGAGATGATTTGTATCATAAATTGTTGACTCATGACATTTCCTTAGTAAAGCATAACTTAATGATATTAATTCTTTTCTGTTTTTTTATGCCCATGAAACAGAGGAAAGAGTTAATCTGTTTGCCTTAAGAAAAGTAGTTTGTCACTCAGAGCTACTTTTTATGGGGTTTAGTTTATTATTTTTAACTCAAACTTCAGGTTGATTATGTTAAATTCAAAGTTAGGTTTTATGCTGCGTGACTGTGAAATGTGCAGGAAAATAGAGCATCATGAACACAAGATCAGTTACTCATTGGACATTGACTTATCCCAGACAATATTGTTCTTATTGATTTTTAAGCATTAGAGATGCATACTATACTATGGAGTATAAGCAAATAATGTGGTAACGATCTATATTAATATATTTTTTATTCTTTAAAGAACTGTAAAGAGAATAAAAGAAATAAAAGTTCCTGGTACAGGAAATATAATCATTCAAATACACAAACCCACTAGTAATATGAAGTTGATTAATATAACCTTACCTTTGCTTATGGGATCTATTATTCTACAGATTTTCCAGTTAGATATTAATGGAGGCATATTACAGTTAAACCATCCAAAATATATGGGAATAAATGTTGTTAACTGAAAAAATTAACTTCTTATAACTATTAAGATATGCATGATATTTCCACTTATGTTAGTCAAATATAAGATTAAATACCTTTATTGCAAGGAGTAATTATAAAATTTTAATGGGTTTGTGCCTTTAATACCTATTAAAAACACATATTTTAGTTTAAACATGAAAATTATTGAGTATGACGATGCTATTTAAAAAGTCTCCTTTTGGGCTTCCCTGGTGGCACAGTGGTTGAGAGTCCGCCTGCCGATGCAGGGGACACCGGTTCATGCCCCGGTCTGGGAAGATCCCACATGCCGCGGAGAGGCAGGGCCCGTGAGCCATGGCCGCTGAGCCTGCGCGTCTGGAGCCTGTGCTCCGCAGCGGGAGAGGCCACAACCGTGAGAGGCTCGCGTACCGCAAAAAAAAAAAAAAAAAAAAAGTCTCCTTTTAATATATACCTGGCTCTAACAAACGTTTTTGTAATGTAATGACTCTATTTATCTAAACTTCAAGGTGCCTTTGAATCTCAAGGTTTTCAAGACCTCTGTAACAAGCATAAGCTATAAAAATAAACTCATCCTTCTCATATTTTATAATATTTCCATTGATCGATGTCCACTTATTGTTTCCATTAATTAGCACAGCATCCCCTCCACACACATGCACACGAAACTTTCTTATTTTTAATAGGGTTATCACAGAAATGGGTTTCGAGCTCCCATATGAAGAGGCAACATTAAAATTAAGGTCCTTTATAGTTTCATTTTTGTGTTTTTAAGAGCCCCTGAATTCAAGGGGTATTATTCAAAGGCATAACATTATTAATGGGCTTCTGATATTAAAATTATAACACAAAAAATGTATGTGTGTGTTCATGAGACCCAAACCTTCGAACAGTTAAAAACAAAAAAGCAATATGTCTGGTTTAATTAACACAATATATTTTTTAAATGTCTAAAGATTATTTTCATTTTAAAACAGTCCTTGTATTTAGAAAAGCAAGTAATACAATTCCTATAACAAAATTACAGAAATACCAAGAAGGAAGAATCCTTTAAATAACCTTCATTTACTGTTAAAGATAAACTGTCATTCTACTACTCATAGGGGTCCTCTGAGGTTTACAATAATTGATGTCTTAATGCTTTGGAGAAAGTAACATCTCCATATAAAGAAAAAATATTGAGGTATTTTCCTTTGGGGAATATTAGTGTTAATCTAATAGTTAAAGCTGAATAAAGAGAGATAAAAACACATTTTTGCCCCACTTACATAAAGTCTGTAAATGGGATTATCATATTAGCTACAACTGTGTAGTTAAAAGTCATTGGGTCTCGAAAACCAAAATGACAATCTTTTAATAATATAAAAATTATTAGCTAAATAGATGTCTGGTAGCCATCAAAATAATATCAACTTTACTTTGGGCATCAACATATGAATGGTTTCTAAGACATTTAGAAATCTGTATTTAAAAGATTTAATAAAATTAAAAATGATAAAATTCCCCATAATATTTTTTAACATGATATTGTAACATGACATGACCTCTCAACAGGACAGATTTTGTATTTTGGTAGAGGAAGCAAATTAAATGCAAATATTATTATATTCTTTAACGAAGATTCATTACCTGGAAGACTTGGAAAGAAGGACATTAAATTGAGGATTATCAAGAGGACATAGTAACATTTAGAACCACAGATTAGAACTGGCCCAGAGGTCCCTAATCTAGTTCTTCCTTCCTTCCTATTTTTCCTCCATTCTCACATGTGCAACACATATTTAGATTTTGACTTCTAATCAAAAAATAAATTCATATTTGTATTTTAAAAATTAAAGTAATATCAGCTGGCCAGAGCTTCTGATAATATGCAATAAACTACATACTACACTGAGGTGATATATTAACCAAAAGCAATTTGTCATTTTGAAAAGTGTGAAAGTTTCATAGTTAAATGAACAATTCCCATTATTTTTCTCAAATATTTAATAGTTTCTAAACTTTAGTCATTACATATAAACATTCCTAGAGCTCTAGGAACCTCAAACTGAGAATAAGTTATATAGTACGACGTCTCTCTTTAGAGGAAACTGAATTCAATTAGACTGCTTACCCACCTAGTTAATGGCAGAGTTGTACACAGATGTTTTCACAATTCTATCTTTATACAGTTACATTTTATAAACTTTAGAAATCAGATATTTAAACATTGCTAGTCATAATGAAGTGAGAACCCAGGCTCCCTGATTGAGCCTAACTTCTTTTCTAATGATAAGAGGCATAAACAGTCACTTGCTCTACTCCATTATGGAATGTTTTCATACTGCCTGACCACCACTTGTTTTTTCCTTCCTGAATCCATACTTTTACCTTAATAGATTGTCTAGCATGTGTAGAAGACTGTTTATCTCCACACAGAATTCCACTTTTTGCAAAATATTTATATATTAATATTTTTTAAATTCCTTTTAAATTGGATTACATTTTATCATAGGACCATACCAAGTAAATTCTCACTGATGTTGCACTGCCCATGTATAGAAAATCAGAAAGGTGGAGAGAATTAGGGTAAGTAATTTATGTGCAGGGGAGTGGTGTCAAGTTCGCAAATACATTATAGGTAGGCACTGGATGTTTGAAAATAGGAGAATAATTAAGAAGAACTCATGTCATTTACTAATTCTATAATTTGGAATATTCTGGATTGTTTTTAAATATAATCTTCTTATATGTGGAAAACAAGAAGGTAAGTAATTATATCTCTGCTATACATTGTTTCACAAAATTAAACGTATAAAAATATACTGGGAAATGCAACAGCAAATAGAATGCTAATAATATTAATAGCAATAGATGGACTTCTCTGGTGGCACAGTGGTTAAGAATCCGTCTGCCAATGCAGAGGACACGGCTTCAAGCCCTGGTCCGGGAAGATCCCACATGTCGCACAGCAACTAAGGCCATGCACCACAACTACTGAGCCTGCACTCTAGAGCCCACGAGCCACAACTACTGAAGCCCACACATCACAACTACTGAAGCCCACGCACCGCAATGAAGAGTAGCCCCCATTCGTCGCAACCAGAGAGAGCCCGTGCACAGCAACAAAGACCCAATGCAGCCAAAAATAAATAAATAAATATATAAAAAATAAAAAGTAATAGAATATAATAATATTAATAAAAACAGAAACGCTTTTTCATTATATGAGGTATAGAACAATAAATCTACTGTACATTTAGGATCCTCATATTATTATATTTCTTTGTTCCTTTCAATTAACTAATACATACAAAGTTAGGAAACTATATTTGTATAATATATTTACATCATCCGCTGCTGTTCTGTAAGAGTATTACTGTTTTTATCAATTTTAAGATTATAAGGGACACACATGATTAATTCTGATATAGAAATGTATCAAATTGAGGTATAATTCAAACATACTTGGATTATCAGATACCCATGAAAAAGATCTGATTACCAAAAAAAAGAATTCTACAAGATACAAACCAAAAATTAATATTTATTACTCAGAATATTCTTTTAAATTATGTTATAAAAATAATCTTTTTATAGTATAACTACCTAAATTAAAGAGATTGCAGGTTATTTAATCAACAAAATTAATATTGGTATCCACTATAAATTCTAACACTATATTAAAAAAACTGCAACTAACCAATGCTTCTACAGATACTGATTTAAAATGACAGTGGCAAATTTTGCTCTAAAGCTTAAAAAATACTAGATTGACTTGCTCAATCTTAATAAATGAAACTGATTTGAAAATCTCTATTTGAAAGGAGGATGTCAATTAAGGAATACAGATCCATATGTCTGCTTGAATCTTTAAACTAAAGATTAAGTAATATCACTGTTACCTCTCTCCGTCGAGAAGCCCAACATGTTTGTTTGATCTTCCACACCACAGCGGCCACCAGTAATAAGGATAAAAAACAACTAGAAAATAAAACACAAATAATTTTTGCTTAAAACACTTGCAATGTGTCATGAAATGATAAAAGAATATGTAGAGGATTTAAAAATATATAGAAATAATCACTTTGCCTTGGTAAATATTCAAGCAAAACAGATAAATTAGAAGTTTGTAAAACATTCTCAAGTAAAAGCAAAGTACACAGGTAGAAAAATTATTTATATTCTTTAATATATATTATAGTCTATCTTTCAGATTTTCTCTGTCAGAAGGAATGTAACTTTATAATTCTGTTGGTTTTATACAGCAATAAGTTTTTTTAGAATTGCTATTGAGTCATAAAATCTGGCAATTTTATAAATTTAAATATCACACATTTATTCATTTTACCTTTATTAGCAACTATCTTATATCTGAGACTATTCCTGTAGTTCTCAACTGAAGGTGATTTAGCCCTCCCACCCATCCCACCACTGGGACATTTGACTATGTCTAGATACATGTTTGATTATCACACTGGGAGAGAAGTGCAACTTGCGTCTAGTGAGTGTAGCCAGGGATGCTGCTAAACATCCTGCAATGCACAGGACTGCCCCCAATGACAAAGAATTATTCTGTCCAAAATGTCAGTTCTACAGAAGTTGAGAATCCCTTATATATGCTAACATTTAAATTAAGAAATCATTCAATTACAATGTATATACATGTGGTCAATATGTATTAGGTACCATATGCGATAGACTATGTAAAAGAGGATACTTTTTTAGCAGTAATTTGAGACTGACAAATCTCAAAATAACAGATTTATGTGAATCTGGTTAACCAATCCCAACCATGCATTACTGTTTCTTTTCCCTTCCTTTGCTCTGTGGTCAAAGGTTATGCTATGAAAAGACCCAGAAATGAGCAGAACAGTGCCACTATAAATTCACTGGTCACTGACCACTACCAAAAACCTGGTCTTCACCCTTAACTGATCATCCTTGTACTCATCAATTGATTCACTCATAAGCAGTGTAAATGTTGACACTTTCTACTCTTGTCAAATCCTTAATATATTTTTTCTCCTTGCCTCACTTAAAGAAATCTTAGAATATCTATCAATGATGCTGGCAATGACATTGATAATTCTAGCACTCACCCACTGAGTGCTGAACACATTCCAGATACTGTGCTAGATACATCACACTGATGACTGGGTTTAGTTTTATACGAACATTTCCAGATAGGATATATTATTCTTATTTTAGAAAAGAAGAATCCAATGCTCAGAAAAGTTCAAAGTAAACTGCTTATAGTCACACAGGGAGTTTAAGTGGTAGAGCCAAAATTCAAAACGAGCCTCATAAGCCTCAGACTCTTTCCTTCCCATCTGTTGGGAACTCTGAACTCTGAGCTTGCACACTATGTCATAACAGTTGTTTTCCATATTCCCCAGTATCAACCACTGAGGTACCTTACTGCTTTTTACATAATTATCTTTCCCTCTAGTATTTATAAACTCATTCTATTTCATCTAAATTTAAATTTTCAGAAGTGCTCAAGTCCCACATCACCTAAAAAGTAAAAAACAATAGCCCTATTTTATTAACCCTGTAGCTTCCTCTAGTTTGTTGAGCAAGTGGTCCTTGTAGCCACTTCCATGTCAATTTCCTCATAACCTAGTCTTATTTAACGTCTTATAATTTGGTATCCAATTTGTATACTAATAAAAATGTTAACATTAATAATTAATGTTTATATACTATGCAACATTTTAGTGGGTACTTCATCATGACTTTCTAAAAATTAAATAAACTAGTCTTTTCTCTATCAACTGTCTTTTACTTCTCAATTGACAATACCAACCATCCATCCTTTAAAACCCTTCTGAACACTTTATTTTCTTGGCTTCCTTCATCCTTCTTGACACACTACGGAGTCAGTGAAAGTAGACTGCATTCCTGATTCCTTGTTTTAAATTATGGACATTCCTGAAAATTCATTCACAAGACCATGCTATTATCTATTCTTGCTCTCAGAAAAAGAGCTCAGTTATCCTCATGGCTTCAACTATGAAATCATTTGGAATCATTTCCAAATATAAGTCATTTAACCTGACAAAATGAGAGCATCTTATCATTAGAAGAGATCGATGACATTGTTTAGTTCAGACTCCCCCCCAGGAAAGAAATTCCCAGCACAACTCTGATAGTGATCCGGTTCCTAATTAAATACACATAGTAGCTTCTGCTGGCTCATAAGTTGGTGCATTTTATTTTTAGCTAGCTCAAACTATGAAAATTTTCTGTTAAGCTGTCTTTCTAACTTTTATTAATCAGTGCTGCTTCTGTCTCTGGGTTACACTGAATCAGCCATTTCCTTTTTCTGTATTCTAATACTTCTTTATATATTTGAAGACTCTTCTTACATGATTCCTTCTAGTCCACTGGTTCTCAGTCAGGAGAGTTTTGCCCTCCAGGGACATTTGGCAGTGGCTGGAGACATTTTTGGTTGTCACCACTTGGTGGACATCAAGTGGGATGCTGGTAAATATGGTACAATATAGAGGTCAGTCCTCCTCCCCACAACAAAGATTTTCCCAGCCAACCTGCCAATAGTGCCGAAACCCTGTTCTAGTCTGAATTACTGCCACAGCAGTTACACTTCCCTTGTTATATCCAGGTTAACAATGCAACTGTTGAAATATAGTAGTGAGAATCGATACTTTATATATAGTCCAAGGATCCATTTATCTGAATTTAAGTCTTACCATACTACCTTAAGAATTTTAACAAGAGAGATAAATATCACCTCAAATCTGCCATGTCCAAACTACTCCTGAGTAACATTCATAATAAAAGTAACTAACATCTATTGAGTAATATGTACCAAGTGCTGTGTTATATGTTTTACATGCATTAATTCTATCATTACCACAATCACACATGATATACTGTGTATTCTGTTATGCACTCATTTAAAAGATGAGGAAGTTGAGGTCATGGAGAGTTTACATAAATTGCCTAAGTTACAAAAGTCTTAAATTGCAAGTTCTCCCCTTTCTGCTGACTTCTTGTCTCACCATTACTTTCCAGGTAAAATGTAAAAACACATTCAATTTTATCATCCCTTATATTCAGTCAGATACCGTATCTTGCCAACTGTTTCTCTCACAGTGTCTGCAGCAGTAGACAATAGTACACATACCAAAATTCATTTACATTTAATAATTAAACGTAACCTAAATACCAAAAAGTATTTTAATTTGACAATTTGTAATTCACAATATTCTCCCCCCAAAATAGTTACATGATCAAGATTCGGTTTAGGACAGTGAAGACTTGCTGAATTTCTCCACAGGGAACTTAAATTCTTTCTGATCTAAATTTCATGATACAAGTGAAGAGTGTCACTTTTATAATGATAGAGGAAGCCAGTATAAAATTTATCAGTTTTCACGATTTTACCTCCTTGAGAAGAGGAGATATACACTTTAGGAGTTTGTTATGCTTTCTATGTAAATTCATATTAGGCTGGTAATAAAAAGTAATAAAAAGAAAATATTCTTCTAATAATATACTATTATAGGAATAGATATGGGATTATACCAGCAGAGACACCAAGAGTTTAAACTAAAGGGTACAGAGAAAACAAGATGGAATGAAAGAAGGTTTTCAGGCTTCTTGGATTCTATGGGATGGGAACATAGAGCTGTTCAGTTGGAAGCAGGCTTTATCCTTTAAGAAAAGGGAAGAACGACCCAGAAGGGAATCAGAGACCTTTCGGGCTCCCACTCCCACCACAGGCCCAGGGGGCAAGGATGGATCCTCCTCAGTTTCAAAGGGTGGAGCCTCTTGGGTTTTACAGGACCAGGATACCCCTGCCAAGAGCCTTGGCGCCAAGGCTGCAGCGCAGTGCTGCAGCATCAGGGCCACCTTGCCAAGCTAACGTGGCAGGGCCGTACCACACAGCTATGGGGTGGCGTTGCCACCTCAGGGGACCTGGAAGTAGAGCACTGAACCAAGGAGGGTTATTCTCAAATCTTTAAGTTTGATGGGATTAGCCTTCCTTGGGACCCATCGCCCCTTTCTTCCTTTACTTTTCTTCCTTTTGAAATGGGAATATCTATTCTATGCCTATACCACCGTGGTATTTTGGAATCACATAATTTGCCTGGTTTCACAGGCTCACAACTAGAGAGGAATTTTGCCTTGGGTTAACTTGTACCCCAAATCTCACCCATATCTGATTTAGACAATATTCAGATGAGACTTCAGACTTTAGTGTTGATTCTGGAATGAATTAAGCCTTTTGGGATTGCTGGGATGAAATAAATGTACTTTGCATGCAATAAAGACATGATTTAGGGGGCTAGAGGCAGAATGCTACAAATGTTCCTCCAAAAGTTGTATGTTGAAGCCCTAACCCCCAATGTGATCATACTTAGAGATAGGAAATTTGGATGTAACTAAAGTTGAATGAGGTCATAATGGTAGAGCCCTGAGCCAGCAGAATTAGAGTCCTCATAAGAAGAAACACCAGAGAGCTTGTGCTCTCTCCCCAAGCACTTGTACCGAGAAAAGGCCACGTGAACATACACCAAGAAGGCGGTCATCTACAGGCCAAGAAGAAAGCTCTCACCAGAAGCAAACCATGCTGGCACTCAGATCTTAGACTTCCCAGTCTCCAAAACTGTGAGATTATAAACTTTCTGTTGTTAAAGTCACTCAGTCTGTGTTAGTTGTTTACGGTAGCCTGAGCAGACTAAGACACTCCCCAAAGTCAAAAGGAAGAATAACTCCCAGGTTTGTTCTGGTCAGGGCCCTGGCTACATTTCTTTCTGTTTTCTGACATACACTCTGTTGTGCCTCAGCTTTATTCTCAGGCTTGTTTTTCCCTTAGATACAAAAACGAATGCCACAGTTCCAGACTTCTATCACATACCATTATACATGCCCACTCTTCACCAATCACTTGGCGAATTGAAGGGTATGCACTTACTGGCTTTAGCCCATCCATGAAGCTGGTGAGGGATCAATTC